ACAATAACGATCGTGAGCATCCATTCACCAAGCTATGCAACATTGTTGTCATGAATTTGTTCCAATTTATTAAATCTTCTGAGTACGCGCACATGAAACATGAAAAAGGCTTATGGAAGTAACCCTGATAAATCTTCCCACGGTAAAAAAAACAAAGATCGGCTAGGGCCTACAAATTAAAGGTGTCGGAAATAGGGGACTTAATCATGTTTGCCATGCAAACGCTTTAGATGAAACTCAAGTTGGCCTGAATTTGCTCAAGAAAGAAATCAACCTACAAATTAAGATATATTACAAATTTTTATTACCTTCGCCACCTTGGGAACTTTGTGTTTAGCTGTTGAGGACGCCATTATAACTGCTGTTACGTTAAGAGAGGTGTTCGATTATGATAACTATTAACATGTACGAACTGTGCGACACGAACGACCTGCGAACAGCAAATTGATTTTAAGGGCAAACTCTTGAGGGCGCTTTCTATAGTAGAGTAAAATTATGAAAATATGAAATTTTAATAAAATATTTTGGTAAAAAAAACCAAAATTATAAAATGTTTTCAATTATAAATAAATGAAATATTAATTTATTTTATTTTTAAAAAGTATTTATTCAATTTTTTCTGCAAAGTGGATTTATATGCTATTAGTAAGGCATATTTAGAGATTGAGGCTAATTGTTGCCAAGGAGGATACGCTCTACGAATGGAAAGGACGGAAGTTTTTCACCGATATTTTCACGTAAACGCATAAATCTTAGATCCAGCAGAGAGACGTATGTAGCTGAATTTATCAAATGCTACATTCTATCTTTTTATCATGTGCACTGTGCAAATCTTGACGCATCATTGCAAGTAAATACACCCAGAACTGTGGGGTTAGACGTTCTGTCCGCCGCGTTCATCATGTTCGTGAGATTAAGAGCGCGTGGTACCCATGGTACCGGCATTACCAGTGCTAAAATACCAGGTCGTCCGAGTAACTTGAACTCTACAAATCACCTCTTTAAACATTGGGACATGGTCGGGCGATAGTAGAGTCCAAGTACCCTCCATAGGCTCTCCATCTCATTAATTCATTCCACTCAAAATAGTTTGTACCGTGAATCAAAATCCTCTGAATTCACCTGTCTAATGAATCTAATGCGTCCGGCTTAGGACTAGTGTGATTATGCTATCGTGCAGTGCCACTGGGCTAAGGCCTAACATTACCCTAAATTCACGCACACACATATTCGCGCATCGAACTTTCTCGTCATGAAAATCTTGAACGAAATTGTGCACTGTTGTTAATTTGCTGTCAGTGATCAATCATCACTTCGGCATTTTTCTTTTCGCAACTAGGCCATGTGTAGACCTAGGCCTACCTAATTAGGCCTAGGCTTTTGTGCAAATTAAAAGCTTTTCCACTGAAAATTTGGGAAAATGTCAGTAGAAAATGGAGTTTTACTTTACAGACTGAATACAAAAATGAACTGGTTGAATTTGTCAAGAAAAGGGATAAATGATGGTTGTTTGCTCATGATCGGCATCAGATGTCTCATGCAGGCACTAATGATGAATGCTGTCAACTTTCACGAACTATTGAGGGCATTATCAAAAACACGGAGCCTGCAACTGCACACATTATATTTTGAGATTTCCATTGCTAACGACAGGTGCAGATTCGGTGATGCTGCATTTTGTGACCTTTTTCAGAAATAAACAGAGAGACGTTTTGTCATAATATTCAAATCAATTACTCATGTTAATGCCAATTATGATTTATTTGAAAGAATAAAAATTAATGTCTCACTGTAACTTGAAATTAAATTGAAAAGCATAAAACTAGGAGGATGAAAAAGAGAAAGTAATGGGAAGTGAAACTGTGGAGATTTTAAGGTGTTTGTTCCTCAAACTGCATTGCCAAATCAAAGTAATTGATGAAAAACATAATTCCTCATCAAGAGACATTAACTGGCAGATTTTTCTGGAGTAGGGCATTACCAATACCTGATAAAATGATGTTCGCAATGTACATGGGCGAATTATGGTGATGTAAGTTTTTCAACTGCCGATCAAACTCATTTGCAGACGAAGTTGTTCCTGTTGCTTCAATGACATCTGAGGCTCTTCATAATATAATTTCATGTAGGATTTCAACCGGTGAGAATGAAGCTATAAAAAATTTGTTTATTTAAGAACAAATTTTGGTCAAAGAACAAAGTGCACAAATTATAGTGACTCTTGGTAATGTAATCACATGCAGCATGATGACTTTGAAGACTGGAATTTTCAACACACACCAACAACATTTTACCCATAGGTGGCTCGTCTAACTGGAAAACTGATGAAGACAAGTAGACGTTTGTGGAAAACTCTTCGTCTGATCAAGTCGCCTGTATTTATTAGTGTTAAAATACTGTACAGTGTGCTCATTCTTCTTTTTGAATTTTGCTATGTACTTTTCACCTCAGAATCCATTAACCATTCACAATGACTGCTGTGCTGATGTCAGCTAATGGTCCAGCTGAGGTCATCAATGCCCGCCGTACTGAGTCATTAGATGCTCCCAGCATCCTGAAGCTGGTTGGACCATCCACTGAACCCCAGTTTGGTCTTGTCAATGTTGTAAACCTTATGTAAGTCAAATGACAAGATCTTTTTAAACTATCCTTGAGATGTTAGAATGATTATTCAAAAGCTGATTAAACCTGAATTAGAAGTTTGAAGTCGGAAGGGGTCTGTTTTGTGAAGTCACTTTGGACTTTTGGACAACAGAGCAAAGAAAATCTTAAAATGAAGTTTAGTTGAGTGTTAAGTTGTAATCTGCGCTTCTTCCACGTTTGTGACAATGCAATAATTTATCATTATGGCCCCAACTGGTTGGCAGTCTTTAAAGGTTTACAGAAACAGAAAACATTCAGTTCATGTGAAGTATTTCAAAATAACAATAAATAGGTAACCATTTCAAAAACATCATATATTTTATGTTTACCCCATTAATTGTGACCCCAAAATGAATGAAAATGTTCTTGCCCACAAAAAATCTCCTTTTGGCCGTTCGCACTCCCAGGCTGATTGGATGACATCGCCAGAACGATACATGTACAGTGTACATGTTCATAGCGCACGGTACATGCAGTATCGCACGCAATAGACCATGTTGTGTTTGATATAGCTTGGCCCAGAGGCAAACATTGTCTCTGTTCAAGGTAGAAATTAAAAGACACAGTCCTACCGAGTATTTCTTGAACTGAAACAGTGTCGGGTGAACATTAAATTTATGATGTTTTTTAAATGGTTACGTATTTATTGTTATTTTGAAATACTTCAGGTGAACTAAATGGTTTCTATTTCTGTAACCCTTTAATATTTTTAGACACAGATTGCAAGCAGTATATTTCCATCACAGCTTAAGGACTAATTTGAATTTTGCTATTCAGGGCTAAATTTCACAGAGTTGCTTAGTAGCAGAAACGTTGTGCTTACTGTAGCAGAAAAATTTGCCGTCCTTGGCCTGGTTTTGCTACCAGTGGCACTTACATAGAGATTTCTGTTATTTTGTCACTACTTTAAGCGGAGTTTCGTCCAAGATGAGCATGCTTTTGGTATGCATACTGCTTATGGTCTCCATGAAATACATGGAGCCTCTGGTTGTGTGCTTAGAAGTGTTGTGAAATTGGGCCCAGATCATAAGGACAGGCTCTGGTATCCCCAAATTGATGAAGCATGCATACACAGAGAACTTTGTCTTGTAAAGTATCATTCAATCGAACCCAGTTTCCAACAGTAAATAAAAAAATCTTTTGTTGTTTAGTTCAGCAGGATTCCATATTTGATCATTACGCGTCAGAATTCTCCGTTTCAGAATGTAACAAGGAATCTCATTGACTTATATTTTGCCAAAGCCAAATTCTGAATGTTGGCATCCACTGTTGTATTGCCCAGTTCATGTTCACCATACTCTATCTATGCTTATCGTAAATACTGATAATTTCTTTTTTTCTCTCATTTTTGACAGTGAGAAGGCTGTATTGGCAGTGACTCTGAATAATGACAAGGACCAGATCCTTGCCCAGTCGGCCTTCTTTGATTACCCCAATTTGCCCGATGTTGACCCTGCCAAGTGGCAGGACTGGCTCAACACGTACTTTGACTGCCAAGAGTGCACGGTGAGTACTCCTGAGTACTGTTGGAATGAGGCTTCATTTTCTCATCAATGTTATTTGCTGCCCTCTATTAAACATCATTTTTATGGTTGCAAGGTTGCACATCCCGTGCCTTGTTACCTCTGAGTTTAAATTTTCTTATTGGCACAAGTGGGGTTCTGTTTCACACACCTGTTGCTTCGTGGGCTCCCTTTTTGTTTGTGGCGTGAGACACTTGGTAGCAGAAGTAAAGAATGCAAAATGAAGTTACATGTACAGTGTTGTTCACCTGGTGTACAGTGTCTTTTTTTACATGAGGAAATTGATGCCAATCTTGTCTTACAGTTACTTTAAAAGGTGTTATTTGCCTTGGTGTAAAGCTTCCTTGGTGTGAAATGTTTGACTTTTAAAGCTTTGATGTAAGAGGACCAAAGTAAACAACTGAAATGGATTTGACTGCCAGTCATGTTTATTTCTAGGTGAAGCCTACAAATTTCCCATTACACAATTACAGCGTTATTGTACTTTTGTGTTTACAGCCTTTGAACACCTTGTTTATGCACTACTTTGTAGCTAAACAGGAGTTCTCGCATGGAAGTGCAAGAGAAATTATTCGGTAAGAATATATGTGTATATTTTGCTCTTGTCTTTCTGAAGAATTTAGCAAGTGTTACAGTGCACAGAAAATTTTGGGATATCGTTAAGTGTTGCATTACAATTGTGTGTGCACAACTTTCACAGTGTGCTTTAATTTGGAACACCTATAGGAAAGAGTTCATGTTTACACGTGCTTCATGCCCTGTGCACAAACCCTATGAGGCTGGTCTAAAAAGAGTGTGTTTTCTAAGCAAGACCTCCAAGTTTCCATGCTAAATGGGACTTTTTGGGGGTGGACATTGTTATTGCTTTCTGATGACCAATGTCACTGCCGGGAAAAATTAGTGAAATTCATGCATGGAATTCTTCCCATTTATCTTATGATTGGTAAAACCTATTTGGCCTGGCCAGTACCAGTTTCTGAATGTCAGTATAATGACCAGTGAAAACCTATACCCCTGAATGATTTTTAATCCTTGAATGATGTCCTCTCGCAATAATCACAGTGATGGTTTCTGTATGCAAACTGTTACAGCACCGTCTTCAATGCGGTACCAGATATCCACTTCTTGTATCTCGTCGTGCCCAGTGGCATTTACCCAGAGCCCGCCCTGGCCGAAATCTTCAAGCCCCTGGACAAGAAGTTTGGGGCCAAGCCCCTCGAGAGCCACTCTGTGTTTGTCTGTCACAGGCACGACCATTGTCCAGTGCTCTTTGTGAGAAAAGCCAGGTAAGTTGTGTTGAGATGGCTTAAAAAGTTCATTAACTTGAGCATGTATTCCCCTCAAGGCTTAGAAATGTACATCATGACGAATGAGTGGAAATTGTGCTATTCACCTCCGCCTCAGGAAATTTACAGAAGTGCTGATTTTTGAGAGTGAATAAAGGGCTGGTAGTTTTAATCGTGGTGCAGTCTCTCTCAGTGGCAACATCCTTCTCAAATGGCTGTAAAAAGATACATCCAAAATCAAAACCTGAGGTTCTCCACATTTCAATCTGTATATAATCGTTCAATTGAAAAAAAAGAGGAATATAAAACACCTTTTTTCTTAGGAAGTTGTGATTACTTGTATTACATTTACGAGTTACAAATCTTTAAATTTTAACTTATGAAAAATTTGAGATTTTAGGTTTTATATACCTGTGATAAGGCATTTGAGAGATGGGTATTTTGGGAGAGAGATTTCACTTGACTACTTTATACATTTCCTTGACATTGTCTGCTTTAGAGTGGAAGATCACGACGATCTCACCCCCATCTTCAATCGTCAGAGTGACATGCTGAAGACTACATATGGAGATTACTTCCTGGCAGAGCTGATAGAATCCCAGGATGAAGATAACCATGCCATCATTGTGGAGGTACATTGATAAATATACACACACTCATGGCCTGGTACCAGAAAATGTACTCCTCGTTAAAGATATTTCAGTGTCGTGCCTAGTTTTTATGGTTGGAACTTGTGTTACATTAAATGTAGAATCAGGCTCCAAAGATTTATTTTATTTGGTCATTTTGTCCTTTGTTTCATCAGTTGTGGTTACCATTGTAAAATTGCATTTCATATAGCAGAAGTTTATCTCTTTTTTTTTTTGAGAAAAATTAATTTGCAATTTTAAAACAGGGGATCCAACTTTATGGTAAGAATGACATTTTGATCTGTGCACTCGAGCGGATCTTTATATTTGCACGCTCTATCCAATTTAGCTTGACTCAATCCCATTTGGTTCAACTTTTTTGGTGTCATTATATTTGTGCTACCTTCCCAGAGTGAGGGCACCGCTGTAGGCTTCATGAGCATCTCCAGGAACATCAACCTCAACCTGCTGAACAGCTGCTTTGAGTTGGGTCCCTTCCATGGTCTCCGCAAGCCCCACCCAGACGATATCCTTGTGCCTCCTACCCCTCCCCCACAAGGTTGGTCACCAGATTGAAAATTTTTGTTCAGTCCAGTCCTGACACATTTTGAGAGTCACTCTTATTTCGTGCATTCTTAAAGATTATTGTTTCTATTAGTAAGCAGTCTTTGTGCTGTTCGAAAATATGGTCGCGGGTTCGCAGTCGAAACGGGCAAATTAAAGGGCAGTCACACAGATCTATACTTCACAGCTGGTTTAATTCCGGGCACAGATCCGAATGGTCCAAGGTCAGAACACGAACTCCCTATCTACAATCTAGCGTGGCTATTTATACAGGTTGGGCTTGTTTCTACAGAGTGTTAAGAACAGAACATTCCATCATAACATTTACTAATAAGTCACATAAGGTAGAACAAAACAGCGTGCTGCGTAGCGAACATTAGTGTCTCACGCTCACCGCAAGAGGGCGCTAGCGCGACCAAGCAAGCAAGTGCGCACTGTTTACATGTGGCACTGTCAATGCACGCTGGAGATGCGACGTGAGCGAACTAATAATCGCAGAGCGCTGTCAGGTAATAATACCAGAAATAACCAATAATCATTAATTAATAATCGATCAACAGTTCATGTTGAGTAATTTCACAACACTATGTTGCTACTAACATTCTAAAGGCATCTTTATCCACCTAAGGACTTCACTGAAATATGGACTATGTGAAAGCATATATCAACTTGTTGGAACCTGTGACTACATTGGAAAGAATGTCAAACTGATTTTCTTTTGTTAAACCTAATGATATGCTTTGGTTTACTGTCAGAGGAGCAGCCGGTCATGGAAGAGGATCAGGAAGGGAGACAGAGCGGCATAGACAAACCCATCTCTAGATCAAGCTCCATCTCCAGCAGGAAGGGTGAGCAGGACGAAGGCAGTAACCAAATGACATGGTTATGCTGAGGGTTGCTGCCATGGGGCAGCATTTTAACAACATCGAACCTTTGATTAACACCCCCTTTAAATGGCAGCGAAAGCAAAATCCAACCGGCAGCTCACTGGTGGACTTCTATTTGACTTTGCCGGGTGCTGCGGTTATGAAATGTGACCTGCTCCTACAAAAGAAGTGTTTTTGTTTAAATTTGCACCAGAGAATGAGCACACTGAGCTCTCGTCATTGTTGTGTTGCTCATCCTGATAACAATGGATTACGGTACGTGGGTAAAAAGTTGGTTGTTTCTATCGATATACACCATGCCAAATCTTTTAATGACTGTCAACTCAAAAGTAGCCATGCCAATTGTTGATGCTTTTTTATCTATCTATTACCCAGGCAAAATCAACCGGTCGTAAACTGTTGGTCAGTGATCAAATGAATCAGTGATATCATAGTGGTTAGGTTATTTTGCGTATGACATCATCACATTTTTTTCTTGAAGACCTTTATTTATTTTTAGAGCTTTTTGGTAAAATAGATAATGAAATCAAACTATTTTCAGGTTTCTTTTACAAATCAAGTTCTGTTAGCACAGTTCGTCTCTTAGTATCATAACTGTACTCTGCTACATGCAAGTGAAGAATACAGCATATTCAGCATATTATCAGTGATGTGCACTGGCACCTCCAATCATATAATGTTAGTTACCAGGAGATACCTTCTTCCAATAATAAACAGGGTTGGTAGGAGTAATTTGATGTATTGGTTCATTCATTTGTACCAGGCGATGGCACTGTTGTACCGACCCCGTCTACTGCAGCCAGGCCAGGCAGTGGCAGCAAGGCAACACCTGCTGCAAGCACCTTGCCTTCCCAGGGCACTCCAGCACAGCCACCCAAGCCAGGAACCAGTGGTCAGTATGTCCACAAACCTACCACCGCATCAGTTTCCAATTGCCCTGCAGAAAACTAAGGAATCCTACCTGGTCTTCAGCCGTGCCTGATTTACTTGGCTGTGACCAATTTTATGCCTGAGTCAATGGTAGAGGCTGCTGCCAGTTCCCACAGAGTTGTGTGTAGTTTCATGTGATTTGGATGCTGCTGTCCTCTCCAATCTCAACCGCGTTGTTTGGATTCTAGACTAAAGAGACTCTTGGTTGGTGCTAGTTATTTGTAGCAATGGGGACATATATTTGAATTTGAGTCAAACACTGAAGGTGTGCTGTGATCCTAGAGCCAGGCCTTACAGCCAAGTCTGTGATGGCATGGTATGAAATATGACTAAAGTCGCATCAATGTACTTCATGCTGGATTTCCTCATTCAAATTGATATCCCTCAGCAAAATATCCTGCGTGGCATCCCGTACTTGCTTGTCCCTCATAAACATTTTGTTTTGGCACGTACCACTGATATTTTTTTTCATTGATAAAGTTAAGTCGAAATTTTGTTCTTAGATTTTTTTGTGTGCTCTTTTTTATAAATCTTTTTTTGTGTACCTGCTTTTGATTTTACTGCAACCTTTGAGATAGCAATGAAATGGGATGCAAGGCTGCCGGGTGGAATTTGAAGTTGCATGATGTAAAACCTGGAGATTCTCAAGATTTTCCGTTTTCAAAATTCTTCAAAAAATCATAGCTTCCTTTGGACGTTTACACCTACACAAATAGCTGTTTGGTGACTACTCTAATCTGACAGACAACATCTGCTGACCCCGAGTATTTCAGCCAGGCCTGCCGCCTTGTAAAAAGAGCCCAGATTGTGCAGTAAACTAGCCCAGTGCACTACTGGCATCTTTTCAATAGGGGCCAGATTAGCATGCCGCGGTATTGTATCACTCATCGCTGGAGTGCAAACAGTGGTATAATCTCTCAAAATAAGGATGGATTTCTTCCACTATTGACAACTGAAAAAAAATGTTGGCAATTCCCAGCAGCTGGGTCTTTTGTTCGGAGTACGGTCTTTTGATACAAAGCCCAGTTCTTTTGTCTAGTTTCAGGCTCCCCGGTTTCTTGTATAAAGCCTATGTGCCCAAAACCAGGCTCCCCAGCAGCATATGGTTAAAAGTCCCTTAGCATGATGCCCTCGGAGAAAGGCTTGCATCTAAAGGTTGATGCTCCAGTCATGTTTTTAATGTGATATAATGTTTTCAGCTAGTGGCGTTGAGTCAGCCGATGTGAAGATTCATACCAAGTTGAGCGATGCACACATGGCAAGGTAACTAAAGATTGTATTTTTCCTTTTTTGATTTACACTAGAAACCTAAAACTAAGATGGACATTTTGTTTTTCAGACCATCTGATATTTAAGTTAATTCAGTGTTGCAAAGTTCTTGAATGAAACAGTATATAATTAGTGCAACATAGTTTCACTTTGTGACTTTGTCCTGCAAACGTTTTGCTTGTACACAGTGTTGCTTCACTACTGAGTGAGCAGGAAGATGTAGAATCCATCAAATCCACTGGATCAAAGGTAACAGAGATTGAAAAATACTTCAAATTGAGAGATCACAAAAGTGGAATCTGTAGTAATGTTGATTCTAGACCTTGAATTTTTTCAAAAAGTAGTCATTTGCTGTTGAATGCAGGGATTTCCCAAAGTTCATATCATCACTTACATATCATCATTTACTGAGAATATTTAAACTGAAAATGGTGAATAAAATGGCAGATGGAACAGCCAGAAATCCAATTCTGTGATGTACCCACCTGAATGTATGTGGGCTGTTACACCCATTGTAAGTTTGTGGTGTTCATAGACCGCCTCTGAGGGAACGTGGGGAAAGTACCACCACACTGCTTCTTGTTTCCACAAATACGGAAGCGTCAGTTGTCACTACACTACCCCACTACTGTAATATTTGAAGGTTTGCAAGGCGAGATCAGCAAATGTTTGCTGTGACACAATGGGATATTTAATCTCTTTCCCAAAAGTTGGAATCTGGCAGTCCTTGACAACATGTGGAGTATACTGCTTAACACATTGTGTTCGTACAGGTTTTAAGAGGCAAACCAGGGGCCGATCCAGAATTTTTCTTGGGGGAGGGGAGTTCAGGCCAGAAATTCTTGTAATGTCTCATCTTTGTGAACAAGCAGAAATGCTGATGAAACATTGTACATGACATACATTGTTTATAATGATATTGGTGCACTTGACTTATTATTTTCTCCATTTTTTACCCTTTTTGGGGGGTCTCAGAGTTCGGGGGGTTCAACCTTGTACCCCCCCCCCGGATCCATGCCCACAAACGCAACTCACCAGAGAGATTAAAAATTTGTTAAATGTTCTACAGATATCCTCTTGTCCCTTCTGTTGTGATCGTTGTTAAGTCTTACATGTAATTGTCCTTTTTTCGTCCTCTTCCAGAAATCTGTGTCAGTTCATTCAGTGCCGGAGAATGCTGAAGTAGCCCCACTCTTACCAGAGCTGAGCCCCACCCCAGAGCCTGCAGTCCCCACCCCCAGGTTTGACCCTGTGTATCAAGGGGAGTCGAACAGTTTCATCATCCAGCTGTTCTGCATTGACGAAAAATATGAGATGAGGCGAGTGAACAAGGACGAGATTGAACAAATACATGCAGCCTGGATTGAAAACCGCCACCAATTGATTTGTTACGTACCCTGTGCCTGTGTGCGGAGTGTTTGATAGCAAACGATTTGCAGACGGTTTGTGGTTGAACGCCGTCACAGAACTTTGTTCCTGATTAGCACAGCCGATGACAACACTGATCTCCGTTTGAATCAATCTGGATGACCATTGGCTAATAGAAGTGACATCATCGGCCTCCATCTAACACCTTCAGAAAAAATATATTCACACAGATTTCATCCATTAATTGCAGACCAGTTCCTACTACACATTTCAGTGGCAGGATTGGAACCAATGAATAACTTTCTTCTAAATGCACCAGACGGACAGGCCAATAAAGCCATCCAGATTTCATACATGGAGATCAGTGATTGACAGCTGTAGATGGCAACAACCTCTTCACTGGTAGTCTAAAATAGTCAATTTGATTGGGTCAGTTTTTGTCAAATATTGTGCGTTCATTAAAAAAAAAAGCCCAGGTATGATTAGAGAGTTCCTCATGTAACTTCCCCTTGTTGATCGCCTATGTGCGATTGCCTGCCTGATTAGGATAAACACTACTATCAGTGCTTGTCTATAAGCATTAAGGATTGCCTTGTTGATGGTTATGGACAGGACTGGTGTGGAAATGCTTTATTTTAAACAAAGTCAAGGTACCCTGCAGATGACAGATTTGGCATATCAAATGTTTTGTGTTTGTTACTCATGCAGAAAAAATGGTGAAACGCCAGCTTTTCTAAATATAAAAGTTCATCTCTTGGGAAATATGACGCATTTAACTACCTCCATCCAGCGAAACTAGCTATTAGCGAATTGTTGTCTTTTATGTAGATCCTTGGATTTTCTGCCGATGGCATTCTCCCTGTTTCCTGACAGGGATTTCTGCATCCTCACCATGCCCCACATGGTGCCCGAGTTTCCTCTTTTGCAGAGCTTTGTGGTACGTGCATTGCCTTCATAGAAAACAGACATACTCCTTCCGTTCCTGGCAGCAGATTCCAAGTATTTTGTCAGGATGTTGATGCAGTATTGCCATCTCCAGTCTCATCAAGAACTTATTCTTGTGTGACTGTCTTAGCATTTTGTCCAGTGTTTGGAATAAGAGGAAGCGTTTCACAGACTCCTTGTAGACATGGCATTCTTGTGTTGTGTTTTGAGTAAATTGAAAGAAAGTTAAAAACAGTAAAAACAAATGAAGCTGCAGTTGTGTTAAAAATCAAGAAAGTTAAGCCTCCCGTGTGATTTAATCAAAATTCTATGAAAGAAAAATGTAACCGAATGTCATCCCCTTTTCCATAATCTGAATACTTGTTCCTCGAAAAAGTCAGGACATGTGAAAACATGCGGTCCATTGTGAAGTATGCTGAAGTTTGGTAGCAAGGTTCAGCGGAGCTAAAAGTCCTACCATTTTGATTTCCCGCGTCATCTCATCCTCAGCGAGTGACCCCCAAGTGCCCCAGCATCCTGCCCCAGGAGCTTTACGTCTTCAATCGCTGCGGCCTTCTCCAGTCCTTCCAGGTCCGTCCTGCCTGCACCAGCGACCAGCCAGGGGTGGAGGAACTGATCCAATACATTGACAACAAGGAAGGCCTGATGGCAGACTTCAGGCAGTACAGCAAGGCCAGGAGAGATCCTGTAAGGAACATTTGGTTGAAATTTAAAGTGCCTCTTGAATATATCTGTGCATATACCAACTGAACTCTGGGAGATCATTCAAGAATTTACTGGCTGGTTTAGTAGTGCTGGTCAAGGAATTTTGGGTAGCAGAGCCATAGACATTAGAATAGTACTTTGAAAACAAAAGATGGTTTGGGGACTGATTTTTTTTCCTCAAAATACTGATTGCCATTAAGATGTGAAACAGTATCGTGGACATATATTTTGGCTTGAACTTCTTTTCCTCCGGCACAAACCTGCCCTTCCATTAAAGTCATGTGGTAGACTTGAAGTTGTGCCACTGGTAGGAATGACCAAAACTTTTAACAGACTTCAAATATTCTAGACTGTCTGTTGCAACCAGATCACATTCTATATTCTTTTGGACTTTGCAAGAAGTATATGATTTTGACAGACATCTTATTACTGTGACTGCCGAGGCATAGCTAAGACTATTTCTTTTTTTTAATACCAGGATGGCACGCCATTGCAGGCCTACGTTGCCACCTGTCTGAACCAGGTTGTGGGTGTGGCCATTACTCGGCAGGAGGAGGACATTGAGTACATCCGCTCCCATTACAACATCGAGGACTTCATCTACTTCAACCACCACCGGCGGGACGAGCACGGCCACCTCCATCACCTTGCACTCAATCCCATCTTCCAGCATCAGACCAAATTCTTGATGAAAGAAGTCTTGAGGCAGGCCCACTTCACCTGTCTCTACTATCCCGTCTACCCTGCTTATGCATCCCAGGAAGTAAGCATGTTGTATACAATATAAGCATCTTGCAAAGCATCAGACAGGTTACCAATGAAAGTTTCATTTAGGGGCTACTGCCTGTGACTGGTTCTCAGCAGTGTTTTATACAGATGACATATTTCGGGTGTGAGAATTTCTCCAGTCATTTCAAATTAATGGATTCTACTTTATTGAGATTTTTAAAGCGTGTTAATTCAATGTTCACCGTGCAACACTTGCTGTCTCTACTGAGGGTAGATTTCAGTTGTATTCATGGCATTCTATGTGGGGAGTCATCTTTTGTATTCAGCAAGAATTAGCCTATTTTTGGTGGGGATGGTGTTTTAAAAGACCATGTGGTGAAAGTTTTGTCATTCACTCATTTTCATGACGTTTAATGCAGTGAGCTCTTTGATCAGAATGTCAAGTAAGTGTGGAGCCCACCTCTGATCTCTCTAGTTACCCCTTACAGGACTTTGAATATGAAACTAGCTAGCATGCAGAGCCCTCACAATTGGTCACATGTTGCTTGTGGCAGGTACGAAGCAAGCATTCATTGGTAACTAGCTTGAACTACATGGTTCCAGTGCGAGCCAGGAGACAGATTGAGTATCCGGTGGAACAGCTAGGCGGTAATGCCCCCTCTGAGAGAGTCCTCAAGGAACAGGTAATTAACTGGCTTTGTGCTGTTGAACCTAAAAGTACCACAATTATTGGGAAGGCAACAGATACGAAGGATATTAAAAAGGAGAAGGGACTTCTTCAATCCTCAGAGTATTGCACAAGTTTTTTGCAAAATAACTTATTTTTCTTTTTTGGCACTTTATTAAGAGGAGTTGAGAATGCCTGCAGATTTTATGATTCACACTTCCACTGGTTAGAATCCTTTTCTTTTATGCAGAGCAAGAAAAAATTGCATCCAAATAAATTCTGTCAGTTTTGGTCCTTTAGGCTCAGAGGTGTATTTCAAGTATTTTCCTGAAATGTTGATTCTCTGCTGTCCCCTCAGGAGAAGTACGCCCTCAGTCACATGAACCGCAAGTTGACCCTTGAACCCAAGGTCACCATCAACGCTCGGATTGTCGTTGTCGGGGCTTCAGACGTTGGCATGGCCTTTCTGGAGACTCTGGCATTTTGGTGAGATTCATTGGTACATCCCCTTGGTTTCCTGCCCTCTGAGAGGAAGGAATGCATTCAAAGGCATCGTGAAGGGGGGGTTGGGGGAAAGGGAGCACTTTGAAGGGAATAAAAACAGAACAGGAAAAATGTTAATAAATGAAAATAAAAGATAACAATGGGTGAAAAATTTGCTTTAAAATACCTTGTAATTAACCCCCTTCTACCATTAATGGTTTGTCAGTTTGCTGCTGATGAGCGCTTGGCCTCCCCCGGAAAAGGTCTTGTAACACCCATAAATGTAGCACAGTGACATGCATCTCTGTAGTCAATGCATTTTATATCACCTTCCAAGTTCGAAATGTGCTACACTTTATTTCACAGAAATCGCTAAATTCAAAATGGTACAAGTAGATCATAGCTCATGTAAATATGACCCTGGTTATATTTTGGGGTCCAGAAACTTGACATGTGGCATATACAGACGTAATTTAAAAATCATATTGCTTTGTCTTTGGCCACGAATATCATAGAGTATGAAGTGTGACTTCACTGTGAACCAGAAAGTGCAGTGCAAACGAATGGAGTGTACACGCGTGTTGGTTCACGCGCTGGTTCTCGCGCTAATGCCTTTTACACACTAATTGTGCGCGTGACTTATTCACTTCGGTACCCTGTAATCCAACAATGCTGAGCCTGTGAAGTTCAAATATGACTTAGACTTCAAATAAATTGATTTTTTTTGTGAATATTAAAGAAACTGAACGGTAAAATGGTATTGGTTTAACCATTACATTCCCACAGTAAGCTGAGAAGTAGGTCAGAGGTCAAAAGGAAAGTAGTTTGAGACTTGAAATTGGTAGCTTAGAGCTGTTAAATAGATGGAATAGATGTCCACATAACGCTTTGGATTTCCAGGAAACTGTTGTTCGGCAAGTTTTTAGCAACAACAGAAGTGACTCATGAGTAGGACAGTGTACATTCTAATCTGGATATAATCCATTTGAACACGGATAAACTAAGCTGTGAACATTGAAACATTAACCCGCAGCCCACACCTGCGCTTCAACAACTTGATCCTGATCTCCCCCAATGGTCTGCCAGGGGAACTGGCCCCTGACCCCATCCGGGCCAACTTCCTGTCCACCAGCCACTGCTACTCCCAGGATCGGCTGGCCCAGATATCGCTGCGCTCTTGGATCAATGTGGTCGCAGCCCAGATGGTGGCCATTAACAGGTGAGGACTGGGAACTTTCCTCCAGTAGACTCTGTGCAGCGGATATGACGTTGTGATCACCTACAGCAGCCTCAGTATGGCCAGAACCTGTGTTGTGCGTGCATTGATCTGGGGGTTTTTGGCACAGTGCATGCCCATAACTAATTCTGAATGGCATGGGAGCAAACACAGTTGCTGCATGTGGGCATTCGTGTGACAGCAATAGCATTCAAGTACCTGTTGTCTCTCTTTTACCATCGCTGATGAGATAGATGTGCATTTGGCCAAGATCGCATCTTCCTTCACAGTACATCAAAGCCCCTACCACCAAGGCTTCCCCTCCTTTACCATGATCCGTATTCAGATGGTGTCTCAGAGCAGAACTGTTGAGGAAGATGACAAATTTGACAGGTCTTTATACAAAATGACACTTTAATTGACTGAAACGTGTGGTCCTTAACTAGCATCTGCAAGTTCTCCAACTTTTTGATTTAAGGTCTTTGACTTTATTATTGCAGAATTGTAAAGCCATTAAAATGTATGTGTTTAATAATACATCTTTACATGCTTTGCTGATATGGAAGTTCTACCAAGCAGTGTTGTGGCCGAAACCATCACAGCATCTTTCACAAAACTAGGCACAAGACCATGCACAAAACCAGTCACAAGTAGGAGGGTGAACAATGACAAATGAATGCTTTTGTTGCAGTTCATTTGAATAGCTTGTTACTTGAATAGGTCTGTGTAGATATTGTGAGGGTTTTGTGGGGTCTTGTAATGGTCTTAAGAGGTCTCGACTGCAACACTGCTACCAAGGTTCACAAGGATTGTATATCTGTTAAGACCGGTATCCAGTATAGTCAGAAAATTAACTACAGTCCGTGATGATGTCTTTATTCTTCTGATGTGCCCAGAGGTAGCAAGTATGTCAAAGTAGCTGGAGGAGCCAAGGTGCCATACGACCATCTGATCTTGTGTACTGGGCAGCAGTACCAGACCAGCTGCCCGACGGGGGCGGATACATCTCAGCTTGTCACAAACGCCTCCTTACCCCAGAAGCCCGATGCCCGCTACACAGGAAGAGTGCCCAAGAATGTCTTTGTAGTCAATGATGAGCATGACGCTGCCCGGGTGCTTAAATGGCTGAACAAGCACTTTGTGAATGTTGAAGGTATGGGCAGTTTCAAACACGAATATTCACCTGTATTTAAGCCGGGATGACTTTCATGGGGCTGCTAAGCGGAGAGGCGAAATAAGTTACCAGTGAAAATATCATGTGACATTTATTGATTGTGGCTTGTTGTTTGCTTCTGAGCAACCAAATTTGACACACTGTTTTACCTTTGATGCAGCTCTGTGGAATCAAGCCCTGACATTTAATTAAATGATTAAATAGATTTTGTCCTAATGTAAATTGTAATGCAAAATCGGGCACTTTCAGTTTACATGTAGCTTAATATAATGGGCACTTGACACGGTACATATTTGCTTCCCAAATTACTTCTGCTTTCAAAGAGTTTGTAGAGTGCACTCTAATTCCACTTGTTATAGAGCCTCTCTTTAGATGTACACATTTATATGAACATTGTGCTTTTGTACAAAGCAGACAGGTTGTATTTTAGGAGCAAGCTTTGTCAATTGAAAAGACAGTATTAAGCTTCAAGAGTCAGCTTTGGCAACTACAAAATTTTGTGTATCGAGACATTGAAGAATGCCCTGAAAATTTCAGAATTACATGATGGAAGTTAATACTTAAAGAGCCCTTGAAATCTTCTCGGGAAACTTTAAGTATCACACTGAAATAAGGTAAACTACCCAGTATCACAGGCAATGGCAACGGAACAATTTCCAAGTTTGGGGGAGGGGATTAGTAGCGAGGCCATCAATTCATTCTACATGTCGTTTAGTGAAGTTTCTAAGAACAGGGAAGTCCTCGGATTTATGGACAGAACAGTTCTCAGAGGTCTCTTTGAAGTGTAAAAAAAATGAATTTTGCGTATGTTAGTAACACTTACCTCTGACTGACTCTTCTGTGTTCTTAACTCAGGCAAGGCCATCGTATACGGACGCACCCTAGATGCCTACTCTGCTGTCCAGTCACTGCTTGCTATTGGTGTGCCAGGCTTGCGCATCTGCTTTGTGCAACCACCCCTCGAGTACAGCATCACCTGTTTCAACAACGCTCAGGTTGAGAAGACAGTGCATGAAGCCATTGAGGCGCAGGGTGTACAGATGTTTGATGGTAGGTACCTGCGTCATGATGGCTTTGGATATGAGCCAAGCCCAGACTGATACTGTGCCTTTGTTATTGACATGACAGCATGTTGTTGAATAGCGAAGTCTGGAGAATTGCAAGAAACATCATTGGGAGTCCATAGAAATGCAACAGAAACTCAACAGGGCCAAATATCTTTGTTGTCAAATGTCTGATATGCTTCCTGTTGCACGATTTTATTTTCATTTTATACTTGTGTGAATGAACTCCTAACAGTTTTTGAGGTGAATATAGGGGGGAAGAATCAAAGTTCCAGCCACATTTTGTCCTTTCAGATGGCACTCTAAAAAACAACAAGAAAGTCTACAAAATTCTTAACAGAATTTGTGAATGATTTAAACAGGCTTCTACCTCGCCCAGTGGAATGATGGGAAGGGAGGGGACGAGGTCTACTGTGCCTCCTTCACCTCGGACACCAAGCCCATCAAGCTGGAATGCTCTGCCTTCCTCTGCTTCAACAACAAGGCAGTTGATTATGATGCTTTCAAAGGTATCTGTCAGAGCCGTGGCACTGGACAGTCTAATACTTCAAAGTATAGAGCTTGAACTAAAGCAGACGGAAAATAGCAGTTGATGTGAATTCTGTTTTATTTGATATTGTTTATTGTATTCCTGTATTTCAGTTAGGAGCAGGTGGTTTTAAGACCAGTTTTCTATATGAACGCACCACTTGGAAATGCATCGCGTTAATTGCCTTCAAGCAGGTTGCACTACACTAAATACATGCCTCTAGCAAACAGTGCAAAATCGGACCGAAATAGGGCCGCCTGTTGAATGTAGCCGCCCGCCCCTATCCAAAATAGATCCGTAAGTTGGGGCTTTTTGTGAAAGAGATACCCCAAACTGGAAACTATCAGTCCCAAAATTGGGATTTATAGAAATATTTCTAGGATCCCTCCTGATAATGGCCTGTCTTCTGGTAAAAATCCTGTGGGATCACAAAATATGAATGAGCTCACGCGCAGAAATACAACGATTTGGTGGAATGCACCCTCAAGCACTTGAAGCTATAAATCAATACTTTGGACTGTACAGGAATTTGTATTTGGCATTGGAGCCAATTAAGGTTGCAACAGTGGCTTTCAAGTGTTCTTTAGTGACAATAACATTTTGCCTTTTTTCTTTACCTGTGCATAGTAGTTGCACAGTTTGTTGCTCATAGTATTTAGTTCTTGTAACTGCGACACTTGAACAAGACAATCTTTTGCGTCCTCAAGCAAGGCACTTGATCCCATTTGCTTACTTTTCCTTGGGTCATGCTATGTACCCTTTTCCATCAATTTGGACTGATACTGTTATCAATGTCCCATTGTAGCCATCAATGACAGTTGCCTGGTGTTTGATGGCAAGTTAGTCATCGATGCCAACTTCCACACCAATGACCTGTCTATCAGAGGTGCTGGACCACTGACAAAATTCCAACGCAAATACCACGCTGACCAATGGTGAGTTTGTACCAACCTGGCCTCAAAAAGTATAGGAATTCCCCCTACAGATCAAATTTCATTCCCAGTTTCCTTTGATAAGAGATGTTTTTTTCAACTGATGAATATCTTTTTCATTTTGAGACCATTCTCTGTGTTTGTTGTGTTTTGATACCCCATGGTTTACTTATTTCCAGTGCAAAGATGGCATATATTGACCATGATTTAGACTATATTTTTTGAGGAAAAATTTTATTAATCAAGATTTCAACCTGAACATATTTGATTTTGGTAGGTCCCATGCCAACTTCAATTCCAAGGAGGTCGGGAGTGCCCTGGCGTCCACCATGCTGCGACTGTTTGACCCCACCTTGGAAACGGACATTGCCCCACCTGTGGAGCCAATGCCCCTCATCCCCATCTACACCGAGGCCAAGGTGCAAGGGGCGTACCTGCCGGGCGGGTTGAACTACCTGCACATCGGCAAGCCCAGCCTGGACACCCCTCTGGAGGCAGACATGGCCCAGCTGGATTATGTAAGGATAGGATATCAGGCTTTACACATCTACACATAGTTTATCTCTCAAGGGTGTAGATCGTAGATGGATGAGGAGATATATTCTTCCACTTTTTAAAAAAGTGGATGGATCATATATTTTGTACCCAAAAAAAGGTGTTGATGACACCATCAAGTGTTTGCTTGTGGTGGGTGGTTTCATCTCTGGCTTAGGTTGCGCAGATTTCCTCTCAGCAATCAACTTTGCTTTTTTGTGTCATTCCTCCCCAATGTAGAGTCAAATATGTATTCTTGTTATTACGCATTGCTTCAGTGTTTGATCAGTGAAACAGAACATTCAAGTTGAACCACCACCATTGAAATTGAGAACATGCAACCTGCTGACAATGAAAGGTGAAACACATAACTGAAAAGGTGAAGGAGACCGGTCACTCAGTCGGTGCTTTCCAAAGTCAAAAATGGATTGAGGAATTATATCACTTTGTGTCTGGATGTAGATTTTTTTAAAATTTGATTTGATTTGATTTGAAAATTTAAAACAAATTACTTGATTTCCTAGCTTTCATTCATATTGAGGTGTTTTGAGTTGTTCTGTGTAAGGGACAGTTTATAACCCAAGGGAAACACTGCTATAAAAATGGAAACTCATTGGCTCTCTGTACCATGTTTTGTATCGTACAGTCAGACCCAGTTGAAAACTCGGAAATATGTCACAAGAAGAATATATTAGATGGAATAGCAATGTTCTGTGTTTTGAAATTCGTTATCGCACCAATGACAGATCGTTATTCAGTATTATGTATTTGTTTTTGGTTAGGGACGTGTGTTGATGACAGGAGACCAAGAAGGTTCCTCTCAGGATTATTTTAGGCTTCACATCAACCAATACAACAAGATCCAGACTGTTACTTGTCTGGCAAAGGAGGTATGTTTAACCCCTTGACGACAGGAATTTCTTCCCGAAAGCCGACACCAAGAATTCCAGCCTCGCTTGGCCACAAAGGCCACCTGCCAAACTGCAAATTCTCGGTTTGTGGCCCTGCATGCTCTGCACGCTTTGAATTACACAGTAAAAAGGCTCATTGTTCAGTGGCATGCGGCACTACTCATGCTTCCACATTCCCGTTGCCTCTTTTCAAAGTGGGGACTATTGTGAAGCTGGTGATTATGATGCAAATTCGGTCTTTACATTTCTGGGGTTCACACAAAGGCCAATCACCATATATACAAGAGCCAGGGTCTGCCTTCTTTCACCGTGTTCGCTCGAGCGTGGGCCGAGAATAACAGCTGAAAAGCGGGCTGAGGATCTCAATTTTTACGGCGGCTCTACCCGCGTCCCGGCACGAAGGGTTTAAAGCTTCCCAAGGGTAGAATGTGCAAACATAGATGGAAAGTCGGTCTTGTGGGACGACATCCATTGCTAGCTTTGTAATTAAACTTGTTGATTTCATCCCTTAAAGGGAATTGGAGGAAATTTTGCCTTTAATTTTGTTGTCAAATGCATGATATTTCAAAGCTTTGTTGCTACATTTGTGTAGGTTAGAAATCCCTAAACACAATATAGATGGATTGCACTGTTATAAGATATGTTGCCCATTTCAAAGCAGCAGGCTATAGATCTGGAATCTGATTAACGAGTTGAAGAATAAGTGGAACCTGTTCATGTGACCAGTGTAGCTTTATGAAGCTAGCTTGAATCAGAATCTGTACAGTTTCCAACCAGTTGAACTCCAGAGGTAACTTACTGAGAGTATACAGCCACAACGTTCTAGTATTTACCCAAGGTACTTGATCTTAAGGTGCAGTGTATAGCTGTGACCATCCCTATTACAGGAGTGGCAGGTTCTATGTTACTGCGGCAGTAATGTCCTCTTGTCGTCTTTGAAGGTCACTTTTCCATTTTCCACCTCACCATTGCAGTGCATCTGTGATTTGCATAAAGTATGTTCCCGTTTTTCACAATTCCCTCCCATGCAGACCATCGACACCAGCAACCTTCTGTGCCTGTATGACCTCCACGAGCGCTTCCTCAACAACCTGGTGTCACGGTTTGACGAGGGCCTGATCCCTGACCTCTATAGCTTTTTCCGGGAGACCTGGTGCCTGGCCATCTTCCATGACCGCTTCCCGGACTTCCGGCAGGAGATTCGAGAACTCCTGGTGCAGAGACCTGTGAGATCACTAGACTTACAATTCCTCAATTTTTTTCTCCACCAGAGAGAAATTGACCCGCATCCAGTTAATAGCAGATTTTAAGTCACATGATTTTCGATGGTCAATTTCAATGGCCTTCAATTTATACAGATGTGCACGGAAATGTGCGAGCCTTCAAAGTCTCTCAATATCCTGGCACCTTGCCAATAGAAATACGCAGATTTGAAAACGCACACACCTCCACATGCTTCCTGAAATGCTTTTGTGCGTCATATCGCATCAGGTTACAACCTCTAGAGTCCTGTTGAAACACAGTATTTGTGATACCTCCGTTTGAATTTTGAATGGATTGCAATAGCTCAGAATAGCAGATGGTGCTCAATGCCAACCCTTGCTGTCAAAAACATGTCATCTAATTCAATGCAATGAAAATCCACAGACAGTAACTCTTCTGCTAAATACCTCTTTTTAAAGACCTTTCCAATTCAAGTAAATTTTGGGTGATCTTGCAAAATCCCACTAAGCCAAGTCACGTGCATATCACTGCTTGGGGTCATTGATGTAAATGTCTTCTGAATAATTATTTGGTCCTGCATTAATCTAATCAGTTTTCATTTTTTTTAAGCACTGAGTTCAAGTAAGCACGAAATACAGCTAGGTAGAGAGAATCGTAATTACGTTTTTAATTGTAAACATTTTTCAGGCTGTGGATGTCACTTCTCTTGAGGAAAAGGTCAGACAGCTCATTGATCAAGACCTTGAGGTTAGTACACACCCAGTACAGAAGTATTGTTAGTCTTGTGATAACTCAATTCGGCTTCTACTATGTGAGTCATCTTGACTTCAGTTTGGTGTGACCCCAGGGGGAGAGTACACCTGGTGAAATAGGGGATGATGCATTGCAATAAAACGGAAACTTTCCATTGCCAGTGAAGGAATGGTGGAGCACCAAACTTAGAGTCAGCATTGCATTGATCCGGGTCAAATTCAAATCAACTGTTGGTTTCCGGTTCTACATCAGATCTGTTTGCGCATGGTCACAAGCAGTGAACCAACAGTCTAGTCACAAGGTCTTTCACGAGTCCAGCCACAAGGCCTGTCATGAGTTGCAGGATGAAATTTGACCTCAAGGGATGCTTTTGTCACAGTTTGACCGGAATAGCTCAGTTTGACCGGAATAGGATGAAATTTGACCTCAAAGGGATGCTTTTGTCACAGTTTGACCGGAATAGGTCATAACTCCTTACAATGGACTTTTGTGGGAAATGCAACGGTTTTGCAAGGACTCGTGATAGACTCAACCCTAGCCCTGGAGACAACACCACTTCCAAACAGGTGTACCACCATTCCTGCTGCTCATCTTACCCCCCCCCCAATCTATTTGTTGGATTCGTCTTTGGTCGTCATATTCTCATTTCTTCGTTCCTCCCCTCCAACTTGTCACTGTAGCTGGAGAAACGAGAGCGCAAATACTTGGAGGAGCATTTTGAGAGCAGCAGCAACAAGCGATCCCTGGAGACACGTCTCCTGAGCTTCCTGAGTTACAACTACTACCACCTGCCCATGTATGCCAAACCGGGGATGGTCTGAATCTTAGCAGGACAATGCCCCCCTACCCGCATTGTGCTTAGCAAGCCCCTTTGGAAATATGAAGGGAAAAGTATTCTGGTGGGACTTCCTCTAATGGGTTTGAATTTTATCCATTGCCGAAGTTATATCCACTATTACAAGTTTAGTAATGGCAGTACCAAGGTTCAAGAGTTTTTTAAAAGACAAAGCTAAGCACAAAATACTAAGTACATGTAATTATTTGCCTTTTATGAGTGGTTCTGAGAATTTGTAAATTAATTTGCTAAACTGAAAATGGGACTTTTGTTTAAAAAAAGGCCTCATCAAACAAGCATTGCTTTCAATATAATTTTGAAAAAAGTTTGAACGGTAAAGGTCCAGTCTTAGAGAATCGTCTTCAAAAATTTGCTTTGAATGCAGTATTGGCAAATAGACTACTCAGAGCTGGGGAGAAAAAGGCCATGGTGTTAATCTGACAAGGAAATTGGCTGGGAATGCCAATTCTACAAACAGTGGTTAGTTCTTGTGTAGATTAGGTTCCTTGTGGCTGGCTCAGTGTGACTGGAATTCCATAGAGTTTTGTGCATTATTAGAAGAAAAGCTCCCAAGAAAAAAGTTTTTTCCTTCTCTTTATTGCTTTTGAGTTATACCGTCCAGAAAGTATACAAGTATGGAATACTTGGATTTTTCACAAATGATATCAAAGTCATATTCTCAGTTACAGAAACTAATATGATTATTTTGCTGAGTATAAAACATGAGGGTATAGATCCCCCATGCAGAACCTTTAAAATGTAGCCTCATAATGCATAGTGAGTGTTAACGACCGTACATTGTGATTTTTTTGTAAACTGGTAAAAGTAACTGTATGATATTTGTGTGCATTTGTCTGCAAAATGACTTGGGTAATTAAATATTCTTTACGCTGTACAAGGTTTGAAGCTGAGTGAAAGGTGTGTACATACTTGCAATAAACTACACCGTTTTTGTTTTAATGAAACCGTGTGTCAGTCCCACTTCGAAGTCTGCTGTGATGCTGTTAGGTTTCAATTTAAGGATAAAGCACTGTTAATTTTGGAGTCCACACTGACATTGAACATGTAAAACATGTCTCCTGTGATGATGGCTTTAATTGGCAATTTTTCTGTGTCATCATTTTTAAAAACTTTGTAAGTATTCTGAGCAAGAAAACATGCATTTGTGGGGATCATATTGGCCATCGGCTCTTCTTACAGTTTCTTACAGTGGCAGACCAGTTAACTGATCCATGGCCCAAAATTGCCTGTGTGATGAAACAAATCACGATTAGAGGACTGTCAAATTCTCTGCTATTATCATTTTGTGGCACATGGACTGGATGGTTTTTAAAGGACATAAAGGGGTATAGAATTTACCAGCAAGACTGCCAGCTTCTAGTTCTGAAAGTATTTGACAAAACGGGGCCCTCCAAATTGCTTTATTTTGCAATGGAGGGTAGGCATCAATTTTCAAAATGGTGATGGGGTGAGGGGTGATGACTGTTTTGAGGGTTGATCATCTCCGGAGAGAAATATCTTCATCGGTTAAGCCACTGAAACTTGAGAGGAAAATAAAAGATGAGGAAATGAGCTTAAATTCAATATGTGTGTCGAACACCTGAGAAATTTATGAGTATTTTTCCTGATTTTTTGAAGAGGCGATATCACCGTTGTCTACGGTAGCTTATTTACTGCGTGTTCATCCCAGCCGGCCGTAGCCATGGTTATATATCCGGCGAGCCGCAGCCGGCCACACATCATGCCCGTTTCGCTGGCTGTGTACCATTGATCTCCACTTTCCTACATACGTGTAACAATGGTGTACCAATAGAGGGCGCTAGACAAACAAGGCTGCGAGTAACGTGAAGTTGGGTTGGCGCCTTCGTTAATGAAACGTAATCTCCTTTTCTTGGTATCACCTTTTCTGGTATGAAATAGCTCGTTGTTGGTCATTTAAAAATTTGTGAAGATTCAAGTAGGTCTTTATATTGCAATGTGTCAAGTTCATATGTTCATCTAACAAGAAGACATCGGTATTTTAAAGATTTCTAAGTGACCAATATACAGATAGGCCTATACATGTGTACATGTAAGGACAAGGCCAGCACTGATGACATCGCCGTGAACATAGTGAAATGCTGATTTGGCGTACATAATTAGAACAGTCATGAACATGATATTACAGTAGAAAGGAGCTAGGCCCCTATTAAGAGATTAAAACGAAATAGGCCTACCCCTGTTCAGAGCAAGCTTGCCTTTTTCCCTTATGTATGGACGCTACTAGTACTAATTTTTGCTGCAGTGCAGTGTCATCTTGGGAAGAAATGACAATTTGACATTTCCTAAAAAGTCAAATTTAGTTTTAGTGAAAAGTTCAATTTAGTGAAAATATTGAGGTAGGCTAGGCCTAAGCCTGTAACGTTAGCGTGGTTAGGCTATTCACTTCGAAAACACTCAAAATGTTTCAGACCAGCCTCATAAGTTTTGTGCAAAGGGTATCAGGTGGCATCCTCTTTCCTCTTCAAAGGCACATCACCTCTGGACATTGCTGATGGAGTACAATAAATTTGCATAAGATTCAAGATCGCACTGAACACCCCAACTGACTGCAGTGCCTAGAGCTATTCATGCCTGATGGGTTCTGTCGTGTGGTCTCTGCTCGATGAACCCCATAGTTCTTTGGGTAGATTTGTTGCTAGGCCTTAACCCATTTTCAAGATTTTGTCTTGATGAGCCTCGGCCTCAAATTTGTTCTTTTAAATATTTGCTTCATCCTTACGATTGTCTCGTAAAAACAATTGCAATAAAATATACTGGTAGGCCAAGGCCTAACTAACAAATTTAAGTGTGTTGAATCAACAGTGTTAGTTGCTGTCATTTGGTATATCTGGAAGGCCCGGTTGTACACTTATTGGTTCAGACTTCAATGTTCGCTGTATAAAAGTGTCTTTTGAAACTGCATTGTGGGCCTAGACTGTGTGTTTTGCCCAAACTTTGACATCTGTCCTAAGTTTAACATCTTTCCCAACTGTTATATAACATCTGTCCCAACTAAGTGCTGCAGTTGGCAGGGTGGCAAAGATGGTGGTTTGACATGTTAGGTCGGACACCAGCCCAGTTACATGTATAGCATAGATTGCCCTGAATATGCCTCACAATGTGCTGATGTCATTTTGTTTATATCGGCAACTCGTGCTTGTAGAAGCTAGTTTTATTTGCATCATGGATGAAATGCCAGGTTGGTGTACTTTGGATGAATTATGTCAGGTGTGTGTTCAGATATTCGATCAAATTGAAGGTCGAAGATTCAACTATTGAATTATTCGAAATGACTCAGCCCTAACAAAGTACCAAACGTATACAAGGAGATGTTGAATGACATTTCCCCCGTGTTGACTTCGGCAAAAATATTATTATCAGTGACATTTTTCTCAGATACAAGCAGGTGACTGGACGGGAGTGATAGCATAATGAATCAGTATCAAGCTGGGGGGTCATCTGGACGACCACCTCAAATGTATGGCAACACAACCCAACAAAATGTGCTTGGCATGCAACAGAAACAAATGCAGGTGATTATGTCTAATTAATTACGTGTACGTCTACTGAACTTGGCTTCATATAGATTTTTCTCTACCCTTATTCCTTCATGAAGGAACAAGAAAACTCCAATCTTTCGTTTGTTCGCTTTGCAAAAGTACCTCAGTGGAGTTCATTTGGACTAAATCATAGTACTTATGTTGTTAATGCTCGGATGTAAACTGCATCCTCTCTGAGTTGTGTGAATTTTGAGAGAGATGCGGAACTCAGTCGTAGAGCTTGTCAGTCAAGTGTGTGTCGTTCATTGTGTGGGTCATTTTGTGTGTTGTATTTTGAAGTTTTGTGTTAAAGAAAAATCAGTTATTATAGTATCAATACATGTTTACATGTTCACCCAGGCTAGATGCTTCCTTTCTCGTTTCTTCCTTGAAGTGCCCTTTTGGAGATAGATGTAACCATAATTGACATTCTTTTGTTTCACCAGCTTATGCAGTCGCACCACATCCAAGCGGAAGACGCAGATGACGCACAGCAGCCCCAGCAGCGGCTTGTCGGCGGCCAGGCCCAGCCAGCCAACCCCAACCTGCTGCATGTGCCTTCCTCGAGCTACAGCCTGAGTGAAGGCATGTCGCTCACCTCCAGCATCTACCCGCAGACCCCACTCACCCCAATGACACCCGCCACGCCGGGGAGCATGGAGTCGTCCGGGATTGAGCCACAGCTTCAGTGAGTGTGTCATTCAGCATTGTATAGCAAAGGGTTGTCTAATTATTTTTTGTCCACAGTAGGTAAATCAGCATGGAATCCCGTGACCCAGGGGACAGCATGAGGAATGTGTCTAGATATCTGCACTGACATTTTGGTACCTCCCCATAGCAAAGTACCTAGACTGCTGGCCATTGGGATTTTTCATTAAGCTTTTTGTTTCTGTCCACTTACAAGTAAGCAATGGACCACATTCCAAATAGAATTCTACTAAAAAAGACCTTCGTGTGTGATCCCGGTTGACTTTACAAGTGCCCTCAGTTGATTAAGAGCAGTAAGCTATTATATTTTACCCTGAATGTTGAGATAAAGACACTTTGTCACAGCTTTAGTTCCTTCATTTTGCAGGCTCCAAACGTCCAGCCCTCAGACTGTCCAAAGTAAATCTTCTAACTCATCAACTGCTTATTCAGGCTGAAGCTAAATAGCCACCGGCCAGAATTAACCAAGGGGACTTCATGTGTCATTATGCCCTATTTGCAGGAATATTGTATCAACAGTGAATCTCGGTTGCAAATTGGACCTGAAGAAGATCGCTCTTCATGCAAGAAATGCTGAATACAATCCCAAGGTATAGACTGTTCCCTTGTAAGAAGTATGACAATCTGACTCCTAGTCTTTCAGAGTTTTAAGATTTTGACCGGATCACCAATTTCTGTATTTTGAACCGTGTAAACTAAGCAACATGGATTATAAGCAGTTGTTCAAATGGAAAATTGAGTTTCGCAAGATTTATAGATATCTATTTGTATATAGGCAAGTTAAGTATTAACAAGGTTTGCGGCAGCACCTAAGATCCTAGTAAGTAGACATCTTGTTATTTTCTGTGATTAACCCTCCTACTATGGGGCCCATTGAAATCTTCCAAACTTTCAGTATCCTAGAGCTTAGTATTAATCTCTCATAACTGGGTTCATGCCTTCAAAAACCTTTCAAATTGCACACGCCGTGTGCACACTTTGCACACACACTTACCTGTTTTACATACAAAGTGTGGGCATTCCTTTGCTCTCCTGTTGTTAAGGAAATTTGAGGAAAATGCTCATTTTCTACAATTAGGATAACTCCTTTGAGCTGGATTTTTGATTATGATTTCCTGGACTGTTCCTCATCATTTTGCCACGGATAACCTTGACCCCAAAATGCCTCTGAAACTGTTTTTCAGAGAGGAGAAAACATTGTGTGGACGTGTGCAAGTCCACACAACACCATCATACCCTACATTATGTGGACTTCTTTTGTGCAGGGGTCCACACTATGTATGCCATGTCTGCGCAGTGCTACACACAGTGCAACATTGCCAATTGTAGAAAGTTGTACTCGTCAAAATTGCTAATGGACCTGTAATGCCAATCTTTGTTTGGCTTTGACACACTTCCTTCCTGCAGAGATTTGCAGCTGTCATCATGCGGATCAGGGAGCCACGGACAACCGCTCTGATTTTCAGCTCAGGGAAAATGGTGTGCACTGGCGCTAAGAGTGAAGACTACTCAAGACTGGCCGCTAGGAAATATGCCAGGGTTGTACAGAAACTGGGCTTTCCTGTAAGTCTCTGTCTTGGAGAATCTGAGATATTTCTTCTAGGAACCTTGAATCCTCCAATATCCTCCATTGTGCAGGAAATCAGTGGTACATTCTTTGTACTTTAGGTTAATGGGTGGAAATCAAGGCCTTTATTTTGGTAAAAGTGGCTAGGTTCTTCACTCCTGCACAGCTCTCCCAAATCACATGGTGAACATTGAAGGTGGATTTGGGCTAAGCTGTTGTAACAGCCATTGGACTATACCATTATTTATCTTAAGGGGTGATAGGGAGATGATATGTTCTCGTGAAGTAAACTTCCAAAGTTTCACAAAGAAAGTTAAATTTTAAACCAGTCCAAATTCTCCTTTCTCCTAGACTGTTAGGTACAGTTATATATCTAGTATCTATTTCACTAGTTAATGATGAGTTTAGGCTTACTGAAGGCGTGTTGGCAGTTTGTTCATTACCTGTTAGTATAGACTCTTCCAATAGTTCAGTGCTTCACACACATTTTTGTGGCATCCATTAACGGTTATGGTATTTGAACAAACTGCATTTTTCAGGATGGACGATCTTTAGAAAAGACCTAATATTTCTCTTTTCTCGAAAATGACAGCATTTCTGGCAGTAAGATTTCACAGATTATCTGAAACTTTTATGTACTTACTTTAAAGTAAAATATTTCAAGATAATTTGACAGTCCTGCTTTTGAAATCTTACAAATCCTATACACTGCCCTTAACTGACGATCTCACATGAGACACTGACATTATTAACATGGTTCTTTCCATTGGGTTGTTTTCACACCCTAACCATCCAAGATGTTTCAAAATCCATCGGGAGGTTTTTGAAGCTTATGTAAGATCAAGGAAACCAGAATGTACACGTGCACGTAACTAGCTTCTCTTGTGTGGCTACTTGTTTTGCTCTGAGCTTGTAAAATAGATGTTCAGATTTCTAACTTTTCAGTGTTGGCAGATATGCCATAATAATTAGCATGGGTCTTGATGCCCCTTGAAAGTTCAAGTTTCTGTAAGCTATAGGCATCTTGCAGCTATGGATTCTGGAGGGTTTAGGAAGGTTCCTAGCAGAAGAGCTGACAAAGTTTGGCTTTTTGTCATTTCACAGTTATACACACAGAAGAAATGACTCACAGTAGACAGAATGCCAAGTATAAATTTTTGTATTATTTTGTATTTGGCAGGCAAAGTTCATGGAGTTCAAGATACAGAACATGGTTGGTAGCTGTGACGTCAAGTTTCCTATCAGGTTAGAGGGTCTAGTTCTTAAACACAGTCAGTTCTCAAGGTGAGTGATGTATTTCTACGAATGTGGCTTTATCGTATGTTGGTTCAGTTTTTTTCTTGGTATTGCTTTGTCCCTGTTGCCTTTAACCCTCAAGCTGCATCAGGAAGTCACAGCTGTTACTGGCAACAGTCGGTTGTGGATTGAAGCTAGCCAATGAGTGTTTGTGCTGTTTGTAGCCCTTTGCCATGATTCAGACATAGGCTTTGAAAGACAGAATTGAACTATGACCTTTTGCACATTGGTGCAAAGTTCCAAGTCTTTTCATGAATGACTGCTTGATTTAAATCTAATGTTGTAAAGACTAGTGCAATTAAGTTTTGTTGTTTATGCATTTTTAGCTCAATGCAAGTTAAATTTTTCAAATGATTCTTCTTTGTAACCGTAGCATTGACTCAGCTGGCTCTTCCACTGTTTTAAAATTCATGCTTTAATGATGCATATTTATTCCAGCCAATACGTACACATATTTGACTTCCCTTTTTGCTTGTATTTCTGTATAATTACTGTGTAAAACTCATAGGTATATATCACAATTGTAAAATATTCCTAGCGTGGCCAAGTCAACAGATTTTTGTTCTTAATACTCAGTTTGTCAAATTTTCACATACCCTTCTGGGTACAAAATAAATAATTGTACACAATCTGTTATCTCATGGTGGGCATATGGCCAATGGCTCAGGATTTGTGACCCCCTAATCATAGGGTTATGGGTTCGAATCCAGTTGCTGGTTATAAACATGTATTGTGACTTTGGGCATGTTACTTTACCCCTACTTGCCTCCCTGTACCCTTGAGTACAGATAAGTACCTCTGAGGGTAGAGACCAGATGTGTGCTGATATCGGCTTCCAAAATTAATCTCTTGGCCTGCTGAACGAGAAAACAAATTGCCATCGCACCTCGAGTAGTCGTACTGCTAGATATGTGCGCATTATCAGTGGGCACTGTACTCTTGGATTTCCTTTCTTTCAGCTATGAGCCAGAGCTGTTCCCTGGCTTGATATACAGAATGGTCAAACCAAGGATAGTGTTGCTGATTTTTGTCTCTGGAAAAGTGGTACTTACAGGTGAGTGTCACGGTCTTTGATTAATACCCCACCCAAAGCTATGACATTTAGGTACAAATTTGAAGACAAAATTTGATTAGCAGAACAGAAAATTGGAGCCTCGACAGCTGATGGGTCTTCAAGTTCATTGGCGTGAAATAACTTCCCTCATATTGCCCACCCCCACTCCTTTTCCGGACCCACATTTTGGATTTTGCTAACCGGAAATTCGTCTATTTTAGCATGTTTTCCCCCATTAGAAGTGTGTCATATTTTCAGAAGAAGTATTCTAAGTGGACTAGGGAAATTTCCAGATGTGTCCTGGTTCCTGCAACATGCTGCCTGCCCATCAGCCATCAGTCAAGTCAGAGGAAGATACTTTCAGTCATTGTTTTCATACTTAAATCCACTCAACTCGGTTTAATTTCTAGGTGCGAAGGTCCGCCAAGAAATCTTAGATGCCTTCAACAACATCTACCCAATTCTGAAGTCTTTCAAGAAAACATCATAGTTTAACCGGAAACAGCAGCTGGAACTTTTGAAAAATGGAAACCAGAGTGAAGCCCAGATTGTTGTGTTGTTGTTTGGCAAACTTTATGAACCGAAACCTGAAATCGTATCTGTGCAGGAGCATTATCAACCAGGTTTTTGCTGACGTTTGCAGGTCAGGTAATAGACCACCCATAGCTCTGTCAAGCATACAATCCTTATAAATGTGGGTGATGAAGTTTATTAGTTTGCCACCCATCCCCCCTCTCATTCCCAAGTCTTCTAGACTACCTTTTGGGATATCTTCCATCAGATGTCTTGAATCGGGACCCTCACATTTTACAGTGCTCATGTATGAAAGAAAAAGAGTCACCTGCACCACGTCAGTTCAACCAATGAGTGACAAATAGAGTATTTTCGTGGTTAATACATTGCACTCCTTGTTGAGTTATCCTTACAACCGGCTTGGTGGGATTGTCAAACTTTGACCAATTGAGAATGGCCTTTTTTGAGAGAGAGAGAGAGAGAGAGAGACCCATGTAAAAACTTACACACGTTGGGAAAAAAGAAGAGAACTCTTTCTTTAAAGTCCATAGCTTTATCGCGACGTAAGCTTGAACAAATGCAGCAACTTCCAAATGCTGTTTCAGAGGCCAGTATTTATGTTTTTGTACGTATCCAGAGGTGTGTCACAGACAGATGCTTTGTAAATAGGTAGACTTTCTATTGTCTTTATTGTAGATTCTTTTTTGTTACTTATTACCCCTCTGTCTAGTGATTTATCTTTGGAATGTTGTCATGTCAGTGGAATGGTAAGGAATGCCTGTGGTCTGATCACACATATTTCTCATAAGCACTTGATTCTGACAAAGCTAAATGACATTAGTGTTCAGGAACTAATCTTGTCAGACAAGTTGTGCCTCAGTTCCCAGACATATGCGAGATTTATGTGTATTCTTCTATTTGAACGAATAAGTGAGTAATCTGGATACACATCCATTTTTGTGCCAATTGTGAACTCCAGTTTTAGCTTTATTGTCTTGGCCAAAAAAAATGAGGATCAGTAATGCATTAGTGATGGAAAACAAAAGTGGGAGATGCTACCTTGGAGCAAATTCTATGACGTCTTCCCCACTAACTCACACTTACATTACATGTAACTCCAAGTTCTCTAACTCAGGTATGTTCTTCAGTTTCTTGTTTTGCTTTTTGAAGAATTTGAACAGTTTTCAATAGTGCAAAGATCAGCTACTATCATTTAACAGTTTCATTCTAGTACAACCGAGGTTTCATTGGTTTACTGCAGTGTTGGTTCTCTAGGATTCAGGATTTGTTTTTGCAGAAATCCCCAAGAAAGGGCAAGGCTTTATTCCAAATTATTTGAAGTCTACTCAGTCAAACCAAAAATCGGGATCCACCTGTATTTGTTCCAGATGGAGATCAAGATTTAATTATGCTACCGGTATATTCTTTTTCTGTGAAAATTGTAATTTGTTCCAAAACTGTTTTGTAAATAAAAAGTTTTTGTTAAAGATAATAAAGTGTTCTTCGGGTACAGTACTCGGCTTGTTTAATTTGACAACTCCATGCATTGCCTCATCAAAATAGCCATTTGCAAATTTTCCTTGCCTTGAATTTGTTAAAAAATGGTAGCTCAAGCCATTCTGTTCCTTTTTTCCCCTTTCTTGTTTTCCCATAGATGGCACGCTTCATAGTAAAATTACTTCCACATCCCACTTCCAAACCAAAGAAAAGATGAGATCTTTACATTAAGAACAAGGTCATTAAAAGGGTGTAAATGGAGCACCACCAAGTTGTGTAAGCATCTCCCATACTTCATATCTACAATGTGGGGCAGTTCAACGACATCCTTTTGCAACTATTGACGTGACTATTGCAACTTAACCCATGCAGGAATTTGAAAGAATGTGCCATTTAGATGTTGAATATCTTGATTGTGTGACCCATCTTTACAAAATGCTAAACCACATCATTCTTATGTGTAGCATCTACACCTTTTGCATCGTTTCAGCCCTAATGTAATAAACTCTTTAGCGCTCTTGTTCCTGTTTTTTTGTGGCCACTTTTGCTCATCTTTGAGGGATGTCTGGACTGATATTTTGGTTTGGAGAGAGTAAAACATCCAGCATGGAGTGATTGTTCAAATCATCCCATCTGGTGGAAAAAAATAATGGGAAGATGTGATGCTGGGCAGTTGTACTTTGAAACTTTACTTGATGAAATATTTCTGACAAAAGGTAGGTTTTGCTGCATTTTGCAACAGATGCATGGACCTAAACCATGATGAAATCATGTTTTGTTTACACGTTAAGCTAAAAAGTTACAAAATGACAAAAAAAATAAAATAAAATAAAAAATTTAAAGTAAATGATCATATGCAACCACACCCTCTGTACTTTATTTTTTTTTTAGTTAACTTCTCATTGGGAAACAATTTCATTTTTTCATACAATATTTGATAAAGTAAAAAACTGACACCAATAAACCATTATACACCATACGACATAATTGCAAAAATAAAAAAATTCAAGTATGCAACAAACTATTGGCTAGTATCCATTAGTGAAAAAATAATGCATTTTTAAATTCATATACATTGCAACTGCTATGCCAAACACATTTCCAACTAACAACTTATATGTCTATGTACAGATCAATAAACAAGTATACATGAACTTGTTTGGTGATTATTATTTATGTCTGGAGTTTGTCTTCATTTTATAAAATTTTAAGGCAAGTAAACTCATACTTTTTTAAAATGCTCTATTCAATGTTTAAAGCTGCCATGTTTGTCTTCTACAAGCCCATATTACACTACTGCAGAAAGAAATGTTACAGACTTGTTTCAACATCATCTAAACTAGGACTAAAATATAATAGCTCGTTGATTTATACACACTGCATATAGATACACTTTTTCCCTTGACAATTTTCATGATTAAATTACCATCATGCCTGCCCAGCTAAAACCGAGGCAACTTTGACTTCAAAAAGTTTACTTGCCAATTGGCAATCGCTACTGGCTTCCACCCAGAAGCATTCCTGTTACAACCTTTGACCTCCGACCTCTAACAGGGTTGAAAGGGTTGATGGGAAAATGGTGGCTGAGTAAAGAGAAAGTATAATTCATAAAAAGGAACATTTTAGCATTAGTTTCAAACTTGTGAACTAATCCGAGGAGAAATTTTTTGCGGCAGCATTGCTGGCACCAAACTCATGAGCGCATTCTTAAACTCAAAAGTGACACTACCTGTCAGGGTGGTATTCAACGTTGTGCCTACCACCTGCATGTGATCCTATGCCACGGCAAAAATACACCGCTGTAATTATACTAGCCAGATTAGCCTTCAGAATTTTTTAGCAGATGCACTTGAGGAAAATGGTCTCAAAGCTACAATGAGCAAGAATGATAGAAGCTTTTTACCAAATGTTACCTAACACAATCCGTATATAGTAGTTAAATGTAGTCATATCAAATATGTGCCACATAATGGCTACAGAAAAATCAAGTACAAAAACGTGTTTCCCATCAAACCCTTTCTGTCTTAAGATCTACCTACATGTATGTACAACAAATGGAGTCATGTGGAGTAGTATCTTTTTATTTACATAAATAACTAACTTGCAACGCAGACAAAAAATGCAATGTAACAGAGCATCAAAAAATGGTTGAATACATGTATGTACAACTCAGTTACAAATACTGTGTAGGTCACAAGACGCATTCACTGCTGCACCTTTTGGGACACTTCAAATAAAGGGGCAAGTGAGATATCAGGTTGAACAAATTGTTAAATCCTACAACAAATTTGGGAGAAAAAAAAAGAATACACACCCTACAAAGTACACATCTACTGGCTTGTAAGCACTAAGCAGTCAAGAAATTGCACAAATAACATTGATTTTTGCTGTAATCAACCATGAAGTAGCACTATGCATCTAGGTGAAGACTACCTGCTAAATATGCAAAAAATACAGTGAGCAACACAGGCAAGATTTCTAACATTTCCATACTCTGGTTCCAAATACAAATGGGGCCATCCACTGCTTTACAATTGAATCATTAGTCAAAAAGATCCCATTAGATTCCACTTGTTTCTGCTATGACTATCGTCTTCGGGAACTGTGCAGAAGACTTAAAACTGACATTACCGCCAGCCTAGAATTCGGTCCTTTTTTTCGGCGTAACATCACCGACTGAGTGTTGCTGGCACAGTGAATATGCTGGTACTTGATAAACTTCCGTACGCCACGCATCTTTGTGTTTGTTGACTAGGCAGTAGAACAAATTATTCCACATGAGGACCACAGGGCACAAGCTGCAACAATGTACATTCTTTATTTCTGCCCCAAAGATCTTTCATGTGTAAAATTAACACCAAGTTCATCTTAGCACATGCATATAAATGTGGGTGTATGTCCGTGCATGTGTAGTCCCGAGCTCCTTTTTATTCAAAGTAGATTGATTGGCTGCGTGAAGCCATTTGAAAATGCTCAGGGATTCGAGAGGATTCTACTGCCAAGTGTCGTGCATGCATGCACCTGCAAAGCTCACAGCTGAAAATCTCACCATTTTTGCCCTGTTGTTTTTTTCTGGTAAGCCTTTCTCTGATTTGGCCTACACTCTATTGCAGAGCAATACCCACATGACAGCCCTTTCACAATATTCAAAATGTTAAACCTCACATGAACACTTTGATTTCTGCTAAGCCTCTCACAGTAGTAAAAACTCAAAAGTGATTTCCACACAGGTCTGGTGCCCTGGCCTATACTAAAGAAATTCTGCCCTAGCCGGGTCATAATTAAGAGTCCCTACTAATGCAGAACATTTCTTAAAAATCAATATCCACGTCTGTAGAAATTAGTACTACTGTGAAAAGTATTCCTTTCTCAACTATGTTCATTGCAATCCAGGTCCTTTTGAGGTAAGACGTTTGAGTGAAGCAGACTCTCCGCTCCGTGCGGAACAAAAGAGGATGGTTTTTTTTTGGTAATCATCGCATAGGCTCGCCGTGAGGTGCACAAGTATATGCGCATTTGACGCGGAGCACCCTGAATACATGTAACTAAGTTACTCCGGCATGTATGGTCTTTGTGTACAGGCAGAATGAGGGTAAGAACTCGCTTGTAACCACCTGTCTTTCTTTTTGCCGATTGGGGGTGTACTTCAGCTCGGGGTGGATAAGCACTGGAAACAAAAGATCACATCATCGGTACAACTTGTCTTCAATGCACACATGGCTCTGTCATGTCATTAAAAAATAAAACTTACACAACTATGGAGTCGAAAAAAATTAAATTAAATGGCAGTTTACTATGTTCAGAAATCCCCATTTGCCACGGTATATCTGCAGACGAAACAGCTACATGTCATCAATAGAAACCCTAAGCACCACACAAGTTGACAACTGTGCGCAACAAACAATAAAACGCACCAGCGTATACAATGCCTGTCTTATCTAGCTGCAACAACCACTGTCCCACTGTTTCAGGAGCTCCTTCAGGACAGACCCATTAATGGGTAGAGAATAAAGGCACCAAGCGCACTATTTCCCCCATTCCCAAAGGGCCTCGATGTCTCACAAGTTGACAAATCAACAATTTCATGTCACCAGGATTCCAGGAATGACATTTTTTTACACTTGTTACAAACTGGTAATGTACAAAATTCAATGTCATGGCCTCTTGACATAGACATTCGTGGTGTAATTTAAATTTCATCAACAATGTTTTTTTCAGTCATATGTACAAGTCCTTGCAGCTACTACGCAGCTATTACTGTACAAGACTACATTTTGTAGAATGAGAGATCAGATTTTTTTTCAAAGACTGCAGGTGCCAAGCAAAGATCTCTCCACAGCCACACACTAAACAGGCAAGTGGGCCATTTAGAACTGATATAGACCACTCTCATTTGGCCACAACTCGTATGGCAACCACAGTTTGCAGAAATATCACCATTTGGTTGCTTTTCGATTTTACCTCCAATTTGTTCAAAATGGTAATTCTCCCATTGATTTGAAATAGGGTTGTATTTTCATTTAGTGTTTGGTAGTACATCTATTATTTTCTGGTGTTCCAACAGCTGCTTGGGATTTTTAACACTGTCAATTACTCTTTTACTTATGTACCGATGGCCAACCACAGTTTTAGCAGTGACTTGGAGGAAAAACATGACTGTGACATCAGAAGAGCAAACCTTATTAGACTGTAGAACTGTAGGTGGTTTGGCTGTGACTACTTTAACCCAGACAACAGCAGGACAGGTTTTTTCCAATCACAGGGTAAAAGTCAGTGGAGTGCAGCACAATCTAAACTTCAGAACAGTATGTGCTATTTATGACCTAATCAGGATTTTCTACACCAGCCAGGGAGAATTCTCAAAAATCAGAGTTGATGCTTCCTAGTTTTTTTTTTTTTAAATAGGAGGCAAAGTCTCAGTGGACAAGACTGATTGCTTCAATATCTTGGTGAAATTAGTGAATGAAGGAATGAGTGGCCTGGCATGGATGAGAGCAACGTTCCAATACAGAGATCTGCATCTGTCTGACGTCAAAGAGAAGAACTCAATCCACGGGGAAAAAAATGCAGAATGTCATGAAGTGTACAGTGCATGCAAACTACAAGAACGCCCGTTTGACACAACCATAGCGGGTTCAAATCTTGTGTTTAACATCACTCTTTGGCTAGTCTAATATCATTAGTCAAAACAGCTACATTTCTTCCAACAAAACTGTGACATGCAATGACAGTACAACCGGGTTTCATATGCCAACCCCGGTTTGACTGTCAGACACAGCTGAGCGTAGGTGTATGTACAATAACCCAGCAATTGTTCTGAATTGTCACATCTCTGTCCTGAATACACTATAGCCTCATGTCATGTCACTCACCGATGGACATCACATCAGCCAGTATTCTATGATATGACACACACAAACACGTGCATGCGCCCTGACAGTATACAGAATTAGGATGATGTTGGGACTGCTAACTGCCAATGTTTGAAGATTTCATCATCCAGACAGAGATATGACAAAACAATTGTCGACTGCTATGATGTAAGATAGCACTTTCAGCTTTGCCTCGGGCGCTATGCATCCCTCGGGTTGTCAAAATGCCGCATCTCACACCACAGCAGTCAACGATGAAGCAGTTGGCTCATACAACATGCAACATGGCCATCCTGGCAGGCTGTAGCCATGATCAATTTAAGGAAACCGCCCTCTCCTCAGCAATTTAAATGAGGGCTGGGGACTATTGAAGGCAGACGACAGATATAACCATCCAACAAACCAAAAGGAAATAAAATAAAACGCCCTGGCAATAGTTTTCTCTGTTAGTCAAAGCATCAGCAGAACACTTTTAAGCCGTTAACATTTCTATTAATTTGATTAAGTGTTCCCCTGCATGAGCAGGTACCTCAAGCAAAATAATGTACACTTTCACTTCAGTCTCCATTGAAGGAGATGCATCAAGAGACATCATCAAAACCTGCCATTCCAAATGCTATATACAAATGTCCACGCATAAATGACTCAGAAACGAGCCTTAACTTGTTCTGAAAAAAGAATGTTCCACATGTCAAGTTTATTCCTCCGTCAACTTCTCACACCTCATTCCTGCATGTAAAATGCCCATACACTGCTGGCCTACAAAACTCAGATACAGCTCAAGTCGAGTTTATACACATGTACATGTACTTTCACAATGACAGTGCTCTCCTTTGCAATACATGCACAGATCACAATGCACTTTGAATTTCGCCCGTAACCAAGACCACGAATCACGTTTCACACACTGCCCAGGACAGGAACTCTCTCAAGTGCATGCACCTCCACAGACTACCAGATTTTAGACTTCCCTTCCGTCTCTCTCTGACTGCCCAAAAGTTACTGGCCGTAAGGGTGGTAGCCTCCCCTCCCATAACCACTGCCGTAGCCGGCTGCCGTGGCTCCACCTTGGTTGGACCCGGAGCCCCCTCCAAAGCCGGACCCAGCGTTGTACATATTGCCCGCTCCATATGGGTTGCTGCCATCCTTGCCCGTGTAACCCTGGTACTGGCTGTTGCTCCCGTAGCCCGGGTTGGCTCCATAGCCAGGGCTGTTGGCCATGTTGTAGCCGGTGGGAGCCCCGCCCCCAAAACCGCTGCTGGTGTTAGCCGGGTACGGCGTAAAGCTCCCATACCCTATTGGCGGCCCGTACATGCCCATGTTGTTACCAAATGAACCTGTGTTGAAGCCGCCGGTGCCTGTGGATGGCCCATAGGGCACGACTTGCCTATTTTCAGCGACCTTTATTTCAACCTAAATCGGGGAGAAAAAATTGATAATTAGAATTGTTCTCGTGAAAATGGCCAACCACCGCTGGAATGCATGATTCTCCCGCAATGAAATGCTTCACTCTTTTTCATGACTTTAACAACTCTATTTTTGCGTTTAATCAACTTTTACCCGAGCAGAAAATCAAGCAGATCATATATAAGTCTTAGGTTTCAATCCTTCACATATTTAACACTAAACACATCATACATGTATCACGGTGATAATAAATCTTTATGAGTCATACAATGGACCCTTTGCATTGGAATTTGTGGCCAAGGGCAGCTTTTGTTATTTAAATTCATGAATAGAAGTATCTTCATAAACTTACGACTGTCCCCAGAGGATCAAAGGTACCGATGCACTATGAAGAAGGATTTCTCGTACAATATTACATGGGGTTACGTCTAGGTTAGTGAAACTGCACGTGCTGCCTTTAAATTTAGCCATGCATGTGTATTTTACATGAAAGGAATTACCGTTTTGCCGTTGATTTGTACAAATTGAGTACGAACTGCATCCATGGCTTCTTTGGCACTGCTGAATTCAACAAATCCAAAACCCCTCATCCGCTGCGAAACTTTGTCATATTTCTGCTCAACATTTTCCACAGTTCCGAATCGACTCAGCACCAATTTGATGTCATCGTCTGTGGTCCCATTGGAAATGCCCCCGACAAACACTTTCCTCTGGTTGTCAAACGCGGGTTGCTCAAACCTACCCCCGCCCCCAGCCCCGCCCCCTGACATGCCTGGTCGCTGCGCCTGATCCCTCTGTTGCTGCTCTCCCTTCCGGAAGGCAGCTTTACATTCGATCTTCTTGCTGTCAATAACGTGGGGGTCCCTTGACTGCAAAACATTCGTTCTGGACTCTGGATTCTTAAAATTGACAAACCCAAAGCCCCGGCTTTGGCGTGTCACCTGGTCCTGCAAGACCACCGCCGACTCGATCGGGCCGAAGTGGCTGAAATAGTCCTTCAGCTTCTCCGTCGACGTTTCGGGCGCAAGCGATCCTACAAATATGCTGCAAGGATTCTCCATCTTCTTAAAGGTTCTCTGGCTTGTTCAACTGCGTGCTGATGGTGAATTTCCTGAGGTTTGATGACGGACCAAACTGATCACCGAAGGACGTAGACTCGCTCGAATTTCGTTTTTAATTCACCCCAATGTCACGGAAGCGTCCAGACATATGCTGGGCGCATATGCAGCAGTCAGATCAGGACAGCGAGTTGAGGCCACTTACTGAACTACAGTAATCCTGCACGACATCCATTGCACATATGAGCGGACTTGTTCCCTGAATCCCGCAGTGCATTAGTTACAGTCATTGTGGCTGATACAAGTGCACGCCTATTGGGTTGGGGTAGCAGGGAACCAATCTCTCCACTTGCCGTTCGAAAGGGTCAGGAAGTTCATGAGTTACCAACCAAAATAAAAGTCCCCTTGGCGTTCAACTGTTCAATTTTGATTCATTTTATTCATTTTCCCACGGGAAAATACATGAAGTATAATTTGACGTCCCCGAGAAGCCAGGAAAAACCAGCTCGAGTCGGCTTATCACAGTTACAACCATTATTTGTTACGCCCGGCTTCACTCGTGTATGGAGGTACGTGCCACGCCCCCTTGGGGCCGCACCTACAGTTTGGAATGTGACCGGTGAGACTGAGCAGTGGGTTAAGTTACTCACTTCGTGGGAACGGAAGATTACAGTCACATCGAATGTGAGCGTATGAACCGAAATGTTTGTTTTCCTTCTGGAAAGAAAATCTACTGAGGGTAGGACTAAGAGGGAAGTGGGTTTTGCAACAGGACCCATCTCGACGCTGGGGGCGCTGCAACAAATGCCACTGAGCACATGGCTTCTTCGTGGCCTCGGTAATGTTGTTTATTTTATTCACGCAGGCGCAACACTTATCGGAATTTTTTTTTTTTCATACGCAAAATAATCAGAGAAGAGAAAGAATATGAGGACACAAAGAGTATGCAGGCCAAAAGAAACTAGAACAAAACAAAATAATGTTGAGCAACAACAACCAGGCACAAAGACTGCTTCCCGATTGCACATGAAAGGCAATGTATTTAATAATACGGACATTAAAAATTGGCCCAATGATTCACCCAGGCGGATTAGCATATTACATTTCGCTCAGGCGGATTACTATTTCGGGCAGAAAATAAACCTAGCCATAAATCTTAAAGCCCATTCGGATACGACCGTGTACTTTTTTTCAGAGAGTGTAAAGGGCGCCATCAATGTATCCACCTAGAGAGTGCCAGCTTCAAATTTCGGAACCCAAATGGCTGTTCATTATGGCCGAGTTCGGGCGGCTTGTTCCCGTATGTACACGAACAGCTCGATTTGTTGTTCGTGGGTCGGCTGCTCGAACGCCGGGAACAAACAACTGGTTATCGATGGTAGTTAGTGACAAGCAACATGCAACATGGCGGCGTCCATGGAGGCTATGTTATTTGAGAGTTAATGTTTGGATGGGCTGAATTCTTTTCTATATAAACAGGAACATTCATTTTTGTGTTACGGAAAATAATTAATGTTAATTTTGCAAAACTTCCCATTGTCTTTGGCAGCCATCTCTCTACTTTTTGTAGCTGTTCAAAAATCAAAATCTCACGAGTTTTTCCGTGTGTTCCTGTAAAACCCTGACGAGGAGGTGGTGTGTGATCGTGTTCCGAGAACAGTGTTCTTGAGTCATGTTCCCGCCGTTCGAGCGCGAGAACAAGAAACCCGTGTCAAGAACAGGCCGCCCGAACTCGACCTATGTGCGCGCGCGTACAGCAGGCAGCTATTGTGTGCTAATTGACCTCGTGCATTGACGCATAGCCCACCATATTGGTTCCAACAGTCGAAACTCTCTCTGTCTCTGCTCTGTGTCCACGGAGCCGAAGTCAGTGTATTATTGGTGAATGTTCTGGCTCTAAGGCTACGTCTTTTCCTTGAACCCTTCGTTCAATCGAGGGAACTAGGCCTCCCTTCTTCTATAGTCCGTATTAAAGTAAATGGTAAGCTGGTGCCATTCGTCAAGTGCTCTAATAGTTTTTAGCGGCTATAACATGGCAAAATGTAGCTCGAGAATGTTCACTACCCTAACCCTTTCTACGTGCGGGATACACTACCGATATTGAGGCTAATAAAAGAAATATCTGAATGGTAAAACGTTCGATTATTTGCAAGACGGGGGGGGGTAATGAAGTAATCATCTCCAAACTTTTTAGAAACACCAAAGGACCATTGAACTGATTTCAACCAATATTTTTTCTCAGACACTCTTCAGAAAAAAATAAACTTAAAAACTCTCAAGAAAAGCATATGATCTTGGGGAACTATTTCAGATTGTATACGATTCTTCTTTCGCATTTTCTCCTTGTTACCTGCAGCATTCAGCTCGGAGTAGGGGCACACACGGCCGGATTAACCGAGAGGCACGGTAGGAATCGTGCCTATAGTGAAGGCCTACGAAAAATTTACTTTGGTTTGTGGCGTTTTTTCTTTTACTTTGATTTTGAGAAAGCCGAATGCAATTAGATAGCCTGTACGTGTAGCCTAATAAAGCCAAGTACTGTGAAAAACGCGGCACTGCTGCTCACTATCACCTCCACTGAATGTACTGAAATAGGTGCTGGTGCCTTGAGCAGAGTGCGGCTTACGGGAAACTGGAGCTTTGAGACTACAAATGATCCTTCCCTGAGTAGCACTCCAAACAAAACACCAAGAGAGGAGTTGTTAGCGAAAAAGGGGCTTCAGATGAGCTACTGACAGCTCTTCAAGGAAGGCTGCTACCCTTCAGGGCCTACGGTTTACTCGACGAAATGCAATTGCTGACTTTTCGTGCCACAAAAAACTTTGAAAACACCGAGTGAAATAATTAAACCTGGCGTAAGGATAACAGGGAATTTTTTTGTAATGGCGCCCTCTCTTGCACAGTGTTTGCGACGATGTACCAGCCGGAAGTTCGTTGTCGGTTCAGTTCTTGAAAATAAATATATAATCCCTCAATAGGGTATTTCTCTCAGCCTTTAACACTGGCAACATTTATGAAAACATAAAAACTTTATATGATGAATCCTACATAAAAATGCAGTACTTTATTTATATTACATTGAGATAAAAAATAATAGCTCAAGGCTAAACTACCGACAAATACCGATCTCGTTATAAGTGATGAAATTATCTTCATGGCTATTTATTATATAATTGAATAGATGTAGGGACAAATGAATCGGCATAACCATGAGACAGCCCTAATCCCCCGCTATTGAAGACGGTTGTTCCTTTAATTCTTTTATCTGACAAAATCAGTTCGATTTTGTTCAACACCATAGACTTTTACAGGCTGTCAACCGATGTTTTAATACCAACAATGTTGTTGACCTGCTTTAAATCCGGAGCTTACAAGCTCCCAATGACACAATGACTGTACATGATAATGAGTTGCAGGGCAGACTTGTAAAATACCAAAACATGTGAGCCGCTCGTGTGCTATATGCTGATGGTGGAGCTGTCAATTTCACATTAAACTGTGAGTTTCAGATAAACGTGAGATGATGCAAACCGTTGCTTGACAGCCAACAATCACCCAACTACTTTTGGACCAATCACGTGACAAGCACGACCAGATTGACGCGACATACGTCATCGCCGGCGCATGTTTACTGCCGGTGTGTGCCAGTGTGACGCGTGCGGTGGTCGTACCCCCTCAACGCAAGAACACCGTGTGGGGTTACCATTGGTTGAAAGAAACAGATTAGACATCGTGTCCCTCAGCAAACAACACGGCTAAACTCGTCATCGAGGCCATCGGCGAGACAACACTGCATTTATCTTCATCAGTATAGGCCTGACTTGGCTCGTCTCCACTGTTAGGCGTCTTACGCACGCGGGTCTCCAGCACACATCGGCTTCACATCCATGACGCAAGGAGACCAGCAACATCCCAGTGGGATGACTGGGGCGGACGGGGCCGGGTCCTCCTGTCCCAAGGACGCGGACGCCGTTAAGGGAGGGAGCAGCAGTCCCCAGGAAGGGAGTGACCGGATTGCGATGGAAGGTCGACTACACTACAACCAGCATCCTCCTCATCATCATCATCACACCCGCCAACACCTCGAGCAGACCACGTCAGCTGATGGGGATGTCAAGACACTACTTCATTTTGTCAGTCTCGCCTCCTCGGACATCAAAGCGGCGCTAGACAAGTCAGCGCCGTCCACTGCGAGAAAATCATCCTCAGCGGACAGTAGCCGAAAGTATCCACAGAGGCAGTTGTTGAAAAAGTCCCCGACCGCAAACTTTGCTGAGGCTGAGGTCTGCCGTGGGGAGGATTCTTATTTCAGTGCCCGGAGATTCCTTGCAAGCTCATGCCCATCACCGGCCAATCCTAATGGCGCCCTGCATTTTTCGGAGAGGCTGATGGCAAGTGCTTCTCTTCATCGAGATCACCTCATCAAGAGTTCGGATCTTTTGAAAGAGTTCACCTTCGGAAATACCCTTCGCCGTGATCCCGACCAGCTCCTCTTGGGGAGGAGAGGCTCGGTGAATCGGTACACGGATCGACGCAGTGCGAGTTCGGCCGGTCGCGAGTTCACCGACATGTCGACTTTAGTAGACCGCGGCAGTGAGGGAGATCGGCCCGACAACGAAAACCCCGTACCGCTCCGCAAGCGCAGACTCCCCGCCTCATTCTGGCAGGAACCTGAACGCAGCGAAAATCACAAGACAACACCGGTCACGATGACGGGGCTATCCCCAGTGAACCTGAGCTCAAATCTGAAATTTCCCAGCCTTCTATCATCTGTAGCCCAAGGATTCGCCGACTCCAGACCCACGTCTTTAGACAAGAATGCCATATACCCCAGCAGTGATCATTGCTTCTCTGGTTTGACCCTTCCTTTCCCACCTCTTTCAAACACCATGAGTAGCGATAACTACTTGAACAGGTCTTTGAACTTCCAGTGTTCGTCGATTTGCTCGTGCAACCAGCACGCCGACATGTACAGTTACGAGCACGGGCCCGCCTGTGCCGCGTACATGGCCAGGCACGGCGGGGAGACATCGGGAATTTTCAACCCAGTCAATGCCACTGGGCTACTGTCGCGGTGGCACGCTCCACCACAATTCGCCACCGAGAGGGCAAGCATGTGCCAACCCTCAACCCCCCGTGTCGTTAAGCCCATTCCTACAAAAAGCATCACGTCTTATCCGCCGAGGTATCACCCCAT